CCTCTTCTAAAGAAGTGGCCAATTTAGTGCTGGTATCCATGTGAACGTCAGTCAAAGTTGAAGAAAAACGGCACAAGCAATTTGAAGCCACAAAGTACAGAAACACTTTAATATAAGCCCCACCAGTAACAGGTTCGCCAATATAAGCTTCCCTCTAACTTGCATTGAAATGAATTTGATTTATTATGATATTTTGAAGCTTTTACCAGTAACTGCAAAACATATTTAAATCAGTACTGCGCTAGCTTGTTTCGAAGAGCTTTTTCCAATTCCGTTATAATCCCCCTCAAAAGATGTATAATCCCAGGGCTTTTAAGCGGCAGTTTACGGCACCGTATATCATATGTTTGGCTCACAAACTTAACAACTCCGTTAGCAAAATTTTCTCGTTCTTGCTCTCACTATATGTTTACTAAAACTGCTGATTGCTCTCAGCTAATCGTCGAATTCAATTTTTTTTCATGATTTTTGCGTTCGACGTTAGGAGAACGCTTCGTAATCTTTGGGGATCCTGTGGTCGATGGGATACCTGTGCATGCCAGGCGTGAAGATTCGAGATTTTTGGTTACTTGGACGGGCGATGTTCAAAATCTGCGCCATTTTGAATAATTATTAAGCGCGCGCACGAATTTTAAGCCCAATAGCCGGCCAAAGAAATTGCGGGCTCACCTGGTGGACATGCGAACACAACTATTTTTTACGTCATAAGCAATTGTCATATGGCAATCACGTGCATCACTGGTTCAATCAAGGTCAACTAGATGATTACACGGGAATATTTGAGTTCGGCAAAAGAATGAACTTTGGAGTTGTTTTCTAAGCGGGTTTTATCACTGAGCTGATGATTCTGCTAAACTTTTCGGTCAATGCCGTTCAAATCGAGCTGGAACTTCGTAGAAACACACAAATAAAGACCAGGTAACATTTGTGCCGTGAGAAGTTTACCCGTGCGTTTGAGTCTATTTACATATTTGTAGTTTAACCTCTTTCATGCACGAAAAAGTAAGCTTGAGCGTATCAGTGCAGTTTGTTACAACTGTAATGCTTTATTCACGTCTGATATCTCTACGCGGGTAATTTTGCATGATAAGTATCTCGCTCGCTGAAGCAAGCTAAGTTTAAAACATGTTGAACTGACCTACATGAACGTAAAATAATCATGAGATGAAAAGTTTGCACAATGGCAAAAGATTCTGTCCGGTTCTCTGACATCAGTAATCTAGCAGAAACCTAATATGTTTCCGTCGCTCCTATGATCATTGATTTCACTTCAAGTTGTGTCACGCAAGAAGCCAAGACTTTTAACCTTCAAGGCTACCATTTTTTCGAAGTTTGTAGTGACATGTTTATCTTTTTAACAACAAAGAACTTTTTACGATCTACTTTACATTTTTATCGACCATGCTTGAGGGAGAGTAAGACATTTTAAGAGTAGAGAGTTAATGAGTGAGATATTTTGAAGCCGTATACGCGAAGAACATTTTTTACGAAAAGAATGTTTACCTTTTAATTCATGATCTCTTCCATGATTTTGAAATCAAGCTTGACGACACAAAAGCTAATCTGGAGCTAAGAAAACTCGAACGCACTTATTGATCTATGATTACTACTAGTTATATGATAAAAACAGGTTACATTCTAATTTCCTAAGCTAAAACGAACGTTATATTTTCTTTAATTCCCACCGCGTAAATGGCCCAGACTTTCGAACCCATTATTTGAACATTTTTACATTGTTACTGAGACCTCACTGCCTGCGATGACATTATGAGCGCGTCAGTTTAACTTCTAGCAATTGACAAAAACCGTTTTTTACTCAATTTGAATATATGCTTAACAGAAATATCGATCAAGACTTGGTTAATAAACTTTTTATTACTAACAGTTTAACTCGTTTTCTAATAGCCAGGCAATTGTGCTATTTGCTCGCTAATCGCACGGCAACACAAAGGTCACACCAAGATTGTCGAAATCCATCGTTTAATAAACTGAAAATACGGAGCAAATATTTAATTGTTTGCTGACAAGGTGCATGTAGCAGTCATATAACGAAGACAGATATATTAAAAAAGAGTTCAGTTGACTGTAGCCGCATGGCAGAAAAATCCTGGAAATGAAAAATTTGACTGGAGGTGAAAACCCGCAAACAATTGCAGAACTTTACTGCTCTGTGGAATTTACTGGAGAGGTACATGGCGAGCTCGTGTTTCTCTCTGTCATCGACATTTTTTTGTCAATTACAGCATTTTTGGGGAATACTCTGATCCTAGTTGCCCTTCACAAGGACACATCAATTCATCCGCCATCCAGACTGCTGTATCGTAACCTAGCGATAACTGATCTTTGTGTTGGTATCATTGTCGGGCCTCTGAATGTTGCTCATTGGACATCTGTGGTGAACAAAAGATGCGATATTTGCTATTACGCACTTTTGACAGCATATTTCGCAGGTGTTACTTTGTGTTCAGTGTCGTTGATAACACTGACTGCAATAAGCGTGGACAGACTTCTTGCTTTGCTACTGGGTCTCAGATACAGACAAGTTGTAACTTTGAAAAGAACACGTTTAATTGCTATTGGTGGTTGGATTGTGTCCGTTGTCGGTGCATCTACATCCTTTCTGAATCTTTTTATAGTTTCATTGTGCCAATATATTGTTACAGCTTTTTGTTTAGTCACTACAATCTGTGCCTACACAAAAATCTTCATGTCTCTGCGTCATAACCAAATTCATGTTCAGAACCATGTTGTTCAAGGGCAATCGAGCCAAGCAAATACACTGAATATAGCTCGATACAGAAAGGCAGTGTACAGTGCACTGTGGGTGCAGGTAACGTTGGTTATTTGTTATCTGCCGTACAGTATCACTGTAGCTTTAACACCTCAAAGGGGGATGCCTTTATCTACTTACCTGGCTAGGCAATTTACAGTTACTTTAGTGTTTTTAAACTCGTCGTTAAACCCGTTTCTGTACTGCTGGAAAATCACAGAAGTGAGACAAGCTGTGAAAGAAACATTACGACAACTACACTTCTGTACCTGAACTAAGACTTAGACTAAGAACATTTACTAACGAACTTGATAAGAAAATATGTATAAGAAAACCAGACAAATGTCATAGTCCGAATTGCACCTTTAAGATTGTTTTCTGTTTCATTGCAGATTGCAAAGACACAAACAAAATCATTTGTTTATGTTAAAAAGTTTAATAATGATAAAACAAAATGAAAATATCACTAAAACTAGTCAGTTAGCTAATTAGTTCTCTGGCAATGAAGACTACAAAGCAGGGACATATTCTTAAAGAAAACAGCTCACTTGCTCGCAACATCACACCGACAAACTCTTTTGACTAATGTTTTTTAAAGCCAGAAGACAATCAGAACCTATCAGAGAGCTTTGCTGTTCTGTGGAATTTTCTGGAGAGGTACATGGCAAAGCTATCTTGAAAATACACTGCATAAATAACAGCGGTTGATCACCATAAAAGCCACTATGTTCATAGTATAATCAAGTTTAACAAACGTCATAAGTTCAGTTTGGTAAAACTAATCAGGGCGCAAAAATATTACTTTTCCGCCGGAATGCTTTTTCAAAATCGAACAATGTTTATTGTGGGATATTGAGGGCCAGCACATGATGTAAGTTAAATTTGATGGCCAATAAATACACGTTAACAGTGTTTTGTTGCCTAATTGAATTTGAATATTTTCAAGAACAGACTGAGACGTTATCTTATAGATTTTTCTAGTGAACACTCAGTTCTTTTACTGTGTGATGTTTTACATACATATATAGTTACTATTTTAAACAGTTGTAAATAATATATTTCTTAATGTATTTTATTATCAGGAGATAAACTAGAAAGGGATAACTTCTTTTATCTCCTTTTCACTTTTTCGATTTGGATTTGTGAATAAACAGTTATTATTATAACACAGGTCATTTTAATAAAAGCTTGCGAGCATACGAAGGCTTTTGTTTTTAGATATAATGAAAAGTGAACCCTTATACTTCTGGTTTGCAGGTGCCGTCACAGCGGCCATCTTGGTCGTCAAGAACAAAACCATTTCTGTTCTCTGGGAAGTAACGTCTATTTTCATGTAAATTCTTCGAGAAAACAATTCTTTTTTACTGACCCCCATCATGGCCGCCTTGTCACGTGGTTGCAAACCAAGAATATCCACATGGTAACGTGATATCAATGGAGGAGAAGGGGCTGTCATAAGTACCCCTCGGGAGATTGCTCAGATGACTAACTATTACCTACTGCTGTTATTTGCCTTCGTATCAATTATTTTATCCAAAATAAAGTCTGTAGCGAGGTCGAATTATTGCAGGAATTAGTAGCAAAAGCGAAGTACTTTCTCAGCTAAGAGCTAAAGAAGACTTATATACAGTGCTTAAAGGATGGAACATCACCATGGCCGTAGGGCACGAAACCCCTTGTTTTACAAAAATGGGCCTTGGTTTCATATAACAGTTGAGTACGCCACCAGCACTGCTAACTTTTGTCCCCTCTCACTTTCAAATTCGTTCCTACGGGCCCTCCTGACAACTGAAGACAGCATATCTCGGGGAAAAAAAGCGGCTAGAAAACTGCTTCGATTTGAAAGTTTGGCTGAGCCTGGTAATTTGTATTGCGCGTCACACAGGAAAACAGGAACACGTTGATTTGGCCAATTGATTGAATTGATTGTTTGGTGAATCATAATAAAAACTTGTCTTCTCGGAGAAATGGTAGTCTTTTGTTGTTTTTACTTTATTTGTAATTAAACTTTAATTTGAATAATTATTATAGGTAAGTGCATCAATCTTAGCCATCGGTAGCTGTCCGGCAAACTGAGAACGTTTTACCCCGAATTATGGATTGTTTACTAGCCTACGTAATTCAGTTTACTTTAATAAAGAGAAGAAGAACAACAGTCAACCGAAGCTGGCTGTAAACTATAATCAAACAACAGACAGAGGTGCCATGTACAAGTTGCTGTATATGGGGAAAGTATATATATATATATAGATAATATATTAATAATCACAGGAGTTCAGGCTTCAAGAGTAATCATTGATCGTTTATTGTGACAGTGCTGTTTCGTATGGTCCGAAATTGTAGGACCACACTCATCAGGCAACTTCAACGATTCTATAATATATAATATATATGTATAGTTTTACCTGGATTTTTGAACTTCGCTTACTACTCGGCAATTTAAAACAATGAAAAATCATCAAAAGGCCGATTAAAAGCCTTTATCTGACGCCGGGCAGTGTAATCTGTGCCTTCAAGAAAAAATTTTTATCAGTTGTGAAAAATACTTATGTACTCTGAACAAAGAAACGAATTAGCAAGTTCATGCCCCTACAGAAATAGATTCACTCTCAGAAATTTTAGAATAACGTAACGTAACGCAACGCAACGAAACCGCACGGATCCCGGAAAACCCATTGGGGAACCTCTATACCTCCGTGTCGACTTTGTGGCTACGTACAAAGTTTTTAATCACTCTGCGTCTACCTCGTCACCAGCCTCTCGCAATCGCATATTCAATTCCCAAATTTCGTGTCCATTGAAAACTTTTAAAGTTGTCTAACGTAGGCGCAAAAATGAGTAAATAAATTATTGAAGCGATGTCATAGATCTATTTGGTTAATTTTTTTGCTCTGTGATTTCTCATTGTCTCGAGATCAAATTCCTATGCAGCACGTGAGAAACTACTGCGCTTAGTTACCCTGCGAATTTTTTCCGAAATGTGTTAATGTTGTAGAAAGGGAGGAAATGTAAGGTGCACTGGAAAACATGGGTTTTATGCGCGAGCTTAATTGGACATCTTCTATTTATCAATTTTAACATTGCTAATTTCATTGAATTTGAGATAGTATGAGGCGCTTATTGCCTCTTTTCAATATTGTTTCCTCCCTTCCTACAACCGTTATACCATATTTAGGAAAGTCTTTGGAGGGCAACCCAGCCTAGTAAATTCTTAATCAACAGGGAAATATTTACTATAAAGTTTGATTGAATACGCCTCTTACAATACTTGGTCACGTGATCAACTTTTTGTAAACACAAAAATAGTTTATTTGTACGGTGAAATGTTGTTAGTAGGAACCAAAAGAGCATATTAAGATTACATAACCTGTAAAATTTCAGCCGTATATCTCAAAAGAAGCGATTGCAACGGTCGCCGGAAATTAGAAGGAAGGAAAAACACCTCTTGGGAAAAACTCTTGCCACCAAAGTTTTCCAAACAAATCCTTGTAAATTTTGAAATTCTTAAACTGTTGTTAAATCTTTCCCTTACGCATTTAAGGGCTCAAATTGCCTGTTATAAATAAAAAGGAGATTTGAGCCTCTTAAGAGCGGCCGTCCGTAAATATCGCCTGGGGGCGTGCAAAATGAAAAAATCGAAAATCCCCAAACTTTGTCAGAATATAGCTCTAGGTAAACTATTTCTAGAAAAATAACTTTTAGTTCGATTAGATTTTTCTTTTACGCGTGCGGCGACCGAGTCGGTTCCGGGGCTCACAGGTTGGGTTTCACCGGCTAAAGACAGTGCATTACTTAAAAATCGTTTAAAAATTAAAGAAGAAACAAACTCTGCTTCTGAAAACCTCAGTAGTAAGAGTGCAAATTAAATAATATTTTCAATGTGAAATTTTCCTATTCGACAACAAACTGGATATTTTTCAGATTTTTAATTATTTTACCTAATTTGCTGATTTTTGACAGACAAAATATTGACAAAATTCGGACTCAAAAATCACTTCTTGGTATACGGCTTTGAGGCATAACGTTCCTACAGATAGAAAGAGCAAGGTGTCTTCCTCAAATTAATGCAATAAAATTTTTGGGCAATCCAACGGGGAAAATATTCCAGCGCCAAATGAAAGTTGCCCTTGAGGTCAAATTCACGCCACTTTTGTCACGGTATGCCAAGGTGTTAAATCAACAAAAATGCTCTTTGGGGCAAAGAATGGCCAAAATCCCCAAATCTCTTTGCAAAGGAACAATACTTATTATTTTCGACTTATTTGCATCTGTTTCGCCAGTTTTTACTTAAATGAACCCGTTAACAGTCAAAATCCGTTTGCTGTTCAATGAATTAACAGCCGTGAACGGCACAGATCAACACGTTTCAATACTATCCATTGCTCATTTAAAAAGAACAATTTAGCCCACGTCAGCTTACATAAGGATATATGACTAAATATATTACTTATCTGTCAAAAAAACTGAAGAGGTATTGGAAATAAAACCGCTAAATACACGTTCTCTTCACATCTGTTGCGGAGCAATAGGACAATGCGTTACACACAGCTGTGGGGACTGGGGAGAGGAATGTCAGTTGTATGGGTGTGGGGTAAGTCAGATTTGTGCTGCACAGTGCAATAAACCCTCCCTGAAACTAAACAATGATCAAAGTGAAAATGATAAATCAGGGGCTGATCGAAAGTATAAGGGACTGATTGCGAAACTTTAGAACCCAAAAAATATATAGCACCAGGACCAGATACCACATGTGCTGTCTGCTCGAAGAGTAGGAGAGAGAACCTGGGAACGAGGTTGTTGTCTGCTATCTTGGGTTATCTCGTCTGCTGATCTTGAAATATTTACTTTAAGTCTAAAAGTGCTTTCAGATAAATCAGATAAGAAAAACTCCACCCTGAAAAATTTTTTCAAAGTAAACGTGTGATAGTTGAGTAATTCTTAGAGCCAGTACCAAAGCCACCTTGCTTCCGAGTTGAAGCCAACACTCGTTGACGTATGGCATCGTGTGGATATTCCACGTTTGTTGGAGGGCCCTGTGGAGCTAGCCCTTCAAATCCTGCAGATGCAACGTGTGTAGCACTAGACAAATGCACAAAAGACGTCAAGTCTCACTTAAACCAATATGACTGCTTTGATTCGTCCTTGAAAACGGAAGCAGATCTTCTTCTCGCAAGAGCAGGTAACTGATTTGCACTGTAAATAAATAAAGCCTTTCCGATGAGTTGATCAAGTTGATGCACTTTTACCGCTTGTTATTATATGTCATTCGTTTTATTTTATTTTATTCATTAATATTAATTTGTTTATGTGTGGCACCGCAACTCGAAAGACCTCTCAAAGGCAGCAACGTAGTTCCGGAATTTGACTTACTAACTGTTGATACTAACAGCAAACACATTTTGCGATTACCACAGGATTGCTACATGAATTCACTGCGGCTTCTTTGTACATTTTGTTTCAGGGATTTTCGAAGTCGATGATAATCATATTAAAATGTCGATTTGTCCACGACATCGAGACGCCTTTGGTATACGATGGCGTAGCGGCAAAAGAACATGTTCCGCTCCAAAAGACTGGGCGGCGCATAAGAGTAAACAAGTCAAGGGAGATCGGGGTATCACCCTACCACAATGTAAAAGGATCTTTAGGCTCACTTCAGTGCTTGTTCCAGTTGCGTCTCGTAAGTAATAAAGATAATGCTAAGAATTGCACAATCCTCTAGTCCCTGTGAGCTGCGTATGCAGCCGAAAGAAACCCGGCTAGATGTTAAGTCTGGTCTGTGGCGTAGGCTGGGGACTGGTACTTAAAATTTAGAAACAATTAGCTGCCATGAACAAAAAGCTTTATGACCAAATCCTAACTCGATGGGGGTCAAATGCATGTCTAAATCAGTGATTAAAACCACATTCGCTGTGTTACAGACACCAACCAAATTTGCAGTGATTATGGAGATTCCACTGCGTTATTTCACGAAGGCGGAAATGGATATTCCGCAGATTTTATCGCTGAATAAAGAAGATGGGAAATGTACTCACGAGTTGTTATTTTTCTGTTTTAATTTTAGCCATTTGTAAAAAATGTCGGCTGGTGCTTGCATCAGGGGCACCTTCATCCCCGTGTGAAACAAAAGAAGATGTCCCCCCTCCAATCGCAAAAGAGAAACGAGACGTCTGCACATCATTTGCTTCATCACCGTCCATTTCAAAAGAGGATGTTTCTTTCAAAGTCCAACAAGCAAAGGCAAAAGTCCTGTCAGTTGTTGACACTGACGAAACTGACTCGGTAATATATTATAATCATCAGAATCAGAGACAGGATTTGGAATTGAAACAGTTTTCAAATGGCTCCTTCTTGGGGCCTCAACGAAAAAAACCACATGCACACAAAGAAACAGATGGAGGAAGGAGGATTGTTTTAAATTAGATCTGCAATTTGTTTTGCAGTTCAAAACATGTAGAATTAAATCGATGACTAAATTTTTTTTTTAAAATAAAAGCTACAGTTTTCATCATCTTCATCATTATCATCGGCCCAATCATCGTCATTGTCATTATTTTGTATTACTGTGATAGTCGCTTATAGCTTCTTAACTCCTTATATCATTTTATTATTCTCTTTCTTAATTTGGCTTTCTCTTTTCTTCTTTTCTCTTTTATATTTCAGGACAATGAAAGTACCTCTGGTTTAAGTCAAGCCATGAAAAACCTCGAACTTGTTTCGTTTGACAGTAGCCCTTACGCTACAGAAAGTACCGGCAGCAGCAGCGGTAGTGCGAATGATTCATCAATCGAAAACCAAACGCTTCGTCGCTTAAAGCTGAATGAATTTTTAAGTGTATGTGGCAGGGAAACTGTGAATCAACCGAAAAAAAGTTGGGAGCAACTAAGCACGCGAACTAAAAATGTTCGCGTATCTAAAGCAAAAGATGCTGTCGTTGCGTCGTTAGAGGTCATTTCTCCTGGAAACCCGGCAGCCCTATGGGAAGCAATGAAAAGCTCACAGTCTGTAGAAAAAGCCTTGGGCACAGAAAATCAATCTCCGTTGGATAAGAAGTACCTGGAAGCGTTAGCAGAGACCTATCAGAATGCAAGTAGTTGGGACACCCGCCGACAGGTGTTGTCAATAATGGCTGATTTGACACCGTACTCTATTTTGCAGCAATTTATTCCTGGCATCACCGACTACAGAATCAAAGTAGCTCGCCAACATTCCATCGAGCATGGACGCGGTGTTCCCTTGCCTGCCGCCAAGAGCCCTAGACTCAGGGTAAACGAAATCCAGCTCGATCATTTTTTAAGCTTCATTACCAGTCCCCACGTGGTCCAAGATCTACCGTTTGGCCAACGCTACCTGTACCTATCAAACGGCAAGGTACTCGAAACACCTAATGTGATAAGGTCCATGATACCACAGCGCATAATTGATCAGTATAACCAGTTCTGCTTGGAGACGAATTTTTCTCCGTTCAGCCCGTCCACAATGTTACGAATATTGTCATCGTGTACCGCTACAGTAAGAAAGTCACTTCAAGGACTAGACTACTTTGCCGCTGAAGGAGCAAAAGCCTTTAACGATTTGCTAAAATTAGTTGCAAGGACTGGAGACAGACAGTGGGTCGTTAGATGCGAGCAAGCTCTGAAAGAGGGAAAACAGTATTTGAAAACGGACTACAAGGTAGATATTTTAGAATCATTTATAATATAAACACTGAAAGAGTAATCACATAAAAGAAATAAATATGCAAAGGCGATCAGTTGAACCCTTAAAAATTATTGTAGCTATGCCTACCTTTTATGCTTAGTTACCCCTTTTATACTATGAAATAAATTTAATTGTATGACCGCAGTAAAAGATGTGTGATAAATCGTGTCTAGTTTTTTGGCCAATCATAGGTTGATGATTTCTTTTTTAAGATGTTGAATTCAAAATTTACCCAGAAATTTCAAAAACACAATGAAGAAATTCTTCGTTGTAGATATAGCTTATTATTTTTGTTCTGACTACTTTCTCGCAGGTTCATATCACCAGAGCATCCAGTATCCCCGACCACTGTAGTGCGTACGCCCTAACTGATACAAAAGAAGAGTGTCTTCGAGAAATGTGTGACCACGCCCACGACAAGAGTTGTCCCTTTTGTGATCGGCTGAAAGACACTTTAAAAGAAATTGAGTTGAATTTGATCGAAGCGAACCTGGATGAAGAAGACCGGGATGACGTCATGTACTCGTTTCAGCAAGCTTATACAGCGATAGAAGCTTGGAAGGCTCATCAACTGAGATCTATTCAACAGGATAAGGCCCGCTTAAACATCATAGATACCCTGGCAGAAAGTTCAGTGTTAATCACTCAAGACTGGGCGATGAAATTCTTGCCCCGAAAGTACCGGGAAACCCAAGCCGACTGGTTTGCTAAGAGAGGAATCTCTTGGCATATCAGTACCGTCGTACGTCGAAAGGGAAACCTGCAACACCAAGCATTTGTCCACATTGTGAAGAATTGTAATCAAGACAGTGACGCGGTGGTAAGCGTTTTACGCCACACCTTGCAGCAGCTCAAAATGGACCATCCTGAAACAACAACTGCCTTTCTCCGCCAGGACAACGCTGGATGTTATCACAGTGTAACCATGTTAGCTGCCTGTGGACTTATGGAGAAAGCAACGGGAATTAAAGTAGAAAGAGTTGATTTTAGCGACCCGCAAGGCGGTAAGGGGCCCTGTGACAGAAAGGCGGCCACAATTAAAGCTCACGTTTTAAGGTATCTCAACGAAGGTCACGATGTGGTCACTGCAGAAGACTTCCGAGATGCAATGCTCTCTCATGGTGGTGTTAGAGGTGTTCGGGTGGCTTTGATCGACATGTCCATCGTGCGTCCAACGTCTCTGCGTGGGAAATTAGAGGGAGTTAGCACCCTTAACAACTTCCATCTGGGAGACCGAGAGCTCACAGCGTGGAAAGCATTTGACGTGGGTAAAGGAAAGAAAATATCATGGACACAACTGGAAGGTCAGACATCTTAGAAGCTATAGATAACTAACTCATAATTTGGGCACTAGTTTTGTTATAACGTAGCGTAGCTGAATAGACATCAATGCGAACTACAAGAGATAGCTGCAACGCTGTTAATTTTAAAGTAGGTTGAGAACTGTTGTAATTTCAGCATGACCATTCACTAGGCTTAAAAAGATAAGTACACAATACTTTTGAAGTAACGTTTGTTTTAGTGAGATTGAGCATCCATAATCCGCTTCTGAAGTGTTTTGATAAAAAAATTCTGAAGGCCTTTTCTTTTTAATATTTTTTTCTTTCGTCATTTAGTTGAAATAGGCCCGCTAGAGGAACCAGTTTTCACACATTGTTCATTTTCCCAAGGAGACTTTCAAGATGTATCTTCATGTGACAACGCCCAGGCCTCTAATAATAGAAAGGAAGAGTCGCCGACAAAAGAGGAAAGTGTTGTTTCCGCTGACCACGAAAGCCCGCTCTTTTATTGTCCAGTGGAGGGATGCGTAAGCACCTTTCAGCGCCACTATAATCTTGAGCGCCACTTGCATTATGAAAAAATGCCAGTTTCTCGAGGAGAAACACAGCCTCTTAGACAAGGCGAAGATGATGTACTTCGAAAAACTCGAAGAAGGTGCCAGTGCACAGCCTTTTGTAGCGGGCTCAGTTGTGGTAGAAAAGAGGGCGGGGCATCTGCTATCACCGGGTTGGGCCCTACGTTCAACTAAAAAAAGTTCTAGATTCAATTTCAAGCAGAAGAATTACTTAAACGAAAAGTTTAAGATCGGAGAACAAACTGGACATAAAACAGACCCAGAAGACGTGGCTAGAGATATGAGGCACGCCAAAGAAGAAGATGGCAGCCGCATTTTCACACCAGCTGAATTCCTTTCACCTCAGCAAATTAAATCCTATTTTTCAAGAGCTGCAGCGAAGTTACGTCAGTCCGAAAGTTGCGATGATGCTGATGAGTGCGATGTTCAAGCCGTTGAAGAGGAAGATGTATACTCTTCTGTGCGCACTCATATAATCCAGGAATGCCAGGTTGTTCATCCAGTCATGTATGACACGTACAATCTGTGTGAAATGTGCGAACAAAGGAAACTGACCAAGCTCAGCGTGTCAATGTTGCGTTTAATATGCTGTTATTTTGATCTGAAGTGCGAAGGTGTTTCACTGAAACGTAAAGCACCTTACGTAAAATTGATTGAGGACCTTGTAAAATCGTGCTCCTGCAACTAATATTATTATTGAAACTTGGGTGTCTGGACTAATACGGAATCATTCACAGCTCCTACTCCTTCCACCTACTCACCCAAATTTCCCACTACAGTATTATCCCAGTTTAATTGCATAATAACAGATATTTTGCATGTCGATACAAAAATAAAATTAATTAATTACAAAAGTACCCTCTTAAATTAGTCCACTAAAACGCAGGATTGTCTCTCGGCTTGTGCGCCTGCGGAGGTAGGGTAGAGCAGTGAGTAGGGATACGGAATTGGGATTATGGATGTTTTCACGTCTTTGATTACTCGCCAGAAAAGGTATAGGGGGAACAAAAGTTTCAGCTAATTAAGAATACGACATATGCCAGGTATCCTTACCTGTGCAAGTCGTTTAAACCTTAAATCGCGCAATAGTACGCTTCCGGTTTGAGGTGCATTACCTGCGCCCCTGTGTCACGCAATTGTGACATTCCGTGAAGTACAAGTACTCGATTGGTAACTCGGCATTGCATAGGATGGAAGCCTGTTTGTTTATATTGAATCAGCTTTAAAGTGGGTGGGTGTATAACTAGTTAGTCTCATATAATGAAAGGAACAATTATTGTTTAATCGTGCGTGAAATATTTTAAGTTCTGGAAAACTATGAAGTTTGAAACGTTTCTCAGTAGGGAGCAATAACAAAGAATTTAGATATTGCAAGTCGATCGCAAATGTCACTTGTTAGCAAACGGTTTCCAACAAAATGAACAAGAGAAATCATACAGCTACTTAAAAAGCAAACCTTCTTGGCAAATACAAGGCGTTCTGTGCTACAAAGCGCAAAAATATTTTAAATAACGAGAGTATTGTTGTTTTTGCCCTTTGAATGTCGTGACAAAATGGCGTGTTTTGACCTCAACGGTCGCTTTTGTTCGGCGCTCAAAACATCTTGCCTTTTGGTTTGCCCAAGAATTTTATTGCATTTATGTGAAGAAGACACCTTTCTCTTTCTATTGGTAGGAAAGCTATGGTCCAAAGCTGTATACCAAGGAGTGATTTTCGAGTCTGAAGTTTTGCTATTTTTTTGTCCGTGAAAAATGGGCAAAATAAGTAAAATAATTAAAAATCTAAAAAATATTTAATTTGCCGTCGAATAGGAAAATTTTAGATCAAAACAATTGTTTAAGTTGAGCTCTTTTTGGTACGATTCCCAGAAGCAGAATTTGTTTCCTCTTTAATTTTTAAACGATTTTTAAGTAATATATGGTCATTAGCCCCTGAGAACTGCCGTGTGAGCTTCCGAACCGACTCGGTCGCGGCACGCGTAAAAGAAAAATCTAATCGAACTAAAAGTTATTTTTCTAGAAATAGTTCACCTAGGGCTATATTCTGACAAAGTTTGGGGATTTTCGATTTTTTCATTTTGCACGCCCCCAGGCGATATTTACGGACGGCCGCTCTTAACCTCAGGAAATATTTCATGACAGTTCAAAAATTTCGAAATTTACAAGGATTTTTATGCAACTAATGCAAAAGGCCTATTGATTGAATTGATCCCGTGTCTGTACACTAACACCTTCTTTCTGTCAATTGTAAACATCTTTCTGTCGATTACAGCAGTTCTGGGAAACACTCTGATTCTAGTTACTTTACACAAAGAAACTTCACCGACCCGCCGTCCAAACTCCTGTACCGTAACCTAGCCGTAACTGATTTCTGTGTTGGTACCATTGCGGAGGCTCTCCATGTTGTCTATTGGATTTCTGTAGTGACGGGAAAATGGGACATTTGTTATCTGGCTCATTTGATGGTTACTTTGGCAGTTTATACCTTTTGTGGAGTGTCTTTATTAACACTGACTGCAATAAGTGTGGACAGACTTCTCGCCTTGCTACTGGGGCCCAGATACAGACAAGTTGTAACTGTGAAAAAGACATACATAGACACATACACCAGCTTCTACAGCTATACGAAAGTATGTTCACTACACAGGTACAGCGCTGTGCCTAGCCATCACAATCGTCGCTTACTCAAAAATGTTCTTCCGTCTGCGTCATAACCAAATTCATCGGATCCACCCCTTACAAGGAGAACGCCAAGTAATTCAAATGAACACAGCTCGATTCAGAAAGGCAGTGTACGGTGCACTGTGCCACTTATCATAGCGACAGCTTTAATACATCAAAGAGGGGTGCATTTATCCTATTACCTTGCTTGGCAATTTACAAGTACTTTACTGTATGTAAACTCATCACTGAACCTGTTTATTCATTGCTGGAAGATCAGAGAAGAGAAATTAGCTGTAAAAGAAACATTAAGGCGACTCGTCCGTTGATGGAGCGGTTAGTTTACTATGGTCTACTCTGCTTTTTAGCTATAAATTCATTCCAAACCAAAACTTGCTTTACGGAAAAATCCTCCCCGAAAAGAAATGAACAGTTTCAGTTGAATCATTTTTTATACAAGCGAACATTGCGATACACAATCATATACTCCAGTAAAATGGGAAAAGCCGCGAGCAGAATATAAGTTAATTCACTGGAGAATTTCAGTTTTCCATTCAGGCTATCGGTATATCACGTGACTCAGTTACTGGCTTAATTTACACTGATTAAATGTGTTACAGAAAACACACGCGTATAAGAACCTAGTGGTTTAAAAACCTGCTGGCAGAAATTGTCCACTTTAATTTAACCAAACATAAAAGAACCTGTTTAGCCAAGCAAGATCAAGCAGGTTCTTATATGTGGGTTAAAGTTCAATCATTGCTTTCGAGGTACGAGAACGCGACTCCTAATTTCTGTTGGGTGTCCTATTCATTATTGGGTGTCCTGTGCAATTAATAAGCGAGGTTTTTTCGAGATTGCATTTGTGTCGACACACATTTGCCTCGCTTTGAGGCGCTTGCTTACGTTTTACCTCTCTTTGACGCGCTAACTCACGTGGTGATTCGTGTGTCCTCGGTGTTCATCTTTCAAACGTTTGCTGAGGTCTGCTATTCTGTCTTCGTAAAGCGTTCATCTTTCAAAAGAGTGCTGAATCTTCGTAAAGGTTACAAATTTAAGAGTTTGCTGAAGGTCTGCTATCGATCTGTGTTTAATGAATCTTCGAAAGCGTTCATCTTCCAAAAGTTTGCTGAACTTTCACACCGTGAGTGAAATTTTACTTTGGATTAAGCCTTCATATTTTTCTTTGGAAAATGCGTGCGACTCTTGGTGCATGCATCAAATCGGGTTGTTTAGCTCAGCGTCCGTTGTGCCGCAAAGTAAATTTACCGGCCAGTTGTGAAGCTCGGCGTCCGTTGTGCCACAAAGTAAATCTACTGAGTTGTGTAGCTAGGCGTCCGTAGTGCCACAGAGTAAATCTACCGAGTTGTGTAGTTCGGCGGCCGTTATTCTACAAAGTAAATCTACGTAGAAGTGAAGCTCGGCGGCGCCTTTTCATCGCTGGACTCAATTCTATGATATATATATTTTACATGTTACTACCTTGTTTTTGCATTATATTTCCTCGTTTTTGCTCTGTGTTTAATAAAACTGCATTGCTCTCAGCCAATCCTCAGATTTAAGAATTTTTTTTTCATGTCTATTATTATGATGAAAAACAGGTTACATTCAAATAATTCCCTAAGCTCTGAAACTGTTCCAGTCTCAGTTTAGTTTCAGTGTATTTTTTTGCCAGAAAAAAATACATATGCATACAGACATTCAATATATTGCAAAAAACTTTATTTAAAGATTAAAGAGACGTAAATTGCAAGTAAAAGAATGTGAAAAAAATTTTCTGGCGTTGAAGCTCAAATGAAAACCTTGGGGCTTTTTATATGAGCTCCCTCCCTAAACTAAGACTAAACATGATGAATAAATAAACGGCAAAGTCATACTGAAATATAATTAGGATAAAAAGAAAGCAAAACAAAACGGACAAAACAGACAAAATGCAGCAAAAAACAAGTATTATTTAAAAGTGATTAATCAACTAAGAAGAAATGTTTTTAATCTGGATTTAAAAAGAGAGATAGTAGCAGCAAAAAAGAACGTAAAGCATTTTTTCTCTTTAATTCTCATCTCGTAAGTATGGTACAAACTGACCCAGACATAATTTAGCCCACTTTTTTAACATGTGTATACTGTTAAGACTTCCTGGCTGAGATGAGATGATTAATAGTACATTAATAAAAGCCTTTTTTAATCAATTTGAATCTTTGTTGTTCAGATGTGTCGATCAAGACTCGGTTAATAAACTTTGTATCACTGATCATGACAGTTTAACTCGTTTTCTAACAACCAGAAAATTGTGCTATTTGTTTTGCCAATTGCACGGCAGCAACAAGATTGCCAATAACTCTGTCGTTTAATAAGATGAAAATACAGCCCACATATCTAATTGGTTTGTGATATTATGAAGCTATCACATAAGGAAAACGGATATATTAAAAAAAGGTTCGCTCGCACGTAGTTGCTTCGGAGAAAAGTCATGGTAATGACAAACTACCAAACAATTAGAGAACTGTATTGTTC